AATTCTCTCTTATTTATAAATTCAATAAATTTTATATTTGGAGTATCATGGTATACTAATAGCAATTAGAAGAACTATTTAATCGATATGATATAAAAGTCCACCCAAATATGAATATCAAACTACAAGAATCACGCATTTAACTCTCTGGTTTGGATGGTGTTATTCAAGAAATTTTGCAAGAAATGCTCGGCAAAATGCTAGAAATTTGAGAGTTAATGAACGATTAGAAAATAGTGAGGTTTCTAAAGAAGAAAAAGTGTATGAAATTCTTAACGAATTTCTTACTTGGAGAAATAAAAATTAAGTTAAATATAATTTTTCTTCAAATTATATTTATAATAGTAATATATTAATTTTTAAAAATTTTTCTAAATGATATTGAATTAAACACTTAACTTTCAAGTCCAAATAATTTGTTATGAGTTATGTTATGTTTGACATAATTATTTCTAAAATTATTATTGATGCATATTCATCATTACTGTTTTGCCATGATCTAAATAATTTATTCGCTTATTAAAATTTGTTAGATATTAAAGATTTTGTATCAATATAAATCATTATCTTTTTGTATGACATAAAATCTATCATGTGACTAAATCTTACTCATGTCTACGAAATTCATACCCATGAAAAAAAATTATTTTGTTAGCAAAACAAAAATTTTAATGTTGTTACAATATAAAGAAACTCTTTATTAAATACTTCTCTTTTATGAAATTAAACAGTAATAAATATTAAGCGAGAAATTAAGAGATATTTTTTATAATATTCAAATAGTAAATTTTGATCAAAAAAATTTTTATTATAAAAAATCTTGATTAGTGATCATCACTATATCACCTGCACTATGTTTGTAATTATACTGATGTTGTATATTCTAATCACAGATAATCGTTATCGCCAGAGACCTGTAATATATATTAAATTTGATTGGTCAGATAGTGTGCAGAATTGATTCCAAAATTTCTAAAGGAGAAAATGAATGAACATAAAGAAAGCAAGGTCAGATAGGGATGTTGTGACTGAGTTTCTAATCAGTCTTCAGTTTATAACTTTAAACCAGTCTATAAATTGGTCTGTGCTAATACAGTACATAGTAATAATCTCATATATACGTAAGTGCATTCATTATTGTATTATTACAATAAAATATACACATTGCTTTTATTTATTTGATATATCTAATTTATCAATAGAAGCTTGCATTCTCCAAAATCATTACTTGCAGCCTATTTAACAAATATGTTATTATGAATAGTCACTATATTAAGATCATGTCAGAATAGTATACTCTGCCATTTTATGATATCAAAAAATATAATCACTAGACAAATAATAGAGATCAAATTCATTTTTAATAGCATCATAAATAATTTTTAAAACTTCCAGTTCAATAATTGTAAAAAGTTCATTTGTTATATGTGTTCAAATAAAAATATATGGTTCAATAAACTACAAAAAACATGAAACATTTTAAAAAAGGAACACATTCGAATGTCTATAAAAGATTTAGATTTAGAACTTACAGTATTTTTGCAGCATCTTCAACTTTATTCTCAGAAAGTTGTTGAACTGACATGTCACAATATTCTAATATTATACTCGAAATATCAAGTGTGCTGATAACCCACTGCATATATAAGGAAAATTAAAACCTTTTCTAATTAGACCTAAATTGAAGTTCAAATATTACTTTCTTTGTATTAGCACTTAATGTGAATTTTATAATGCCTGGTCCCATGTTCTCCTCTTCTTGATTTCCTAAAATTGTCATTGTCAGGTTTAACAAAAGTGTTATCACTAACACTGTCCGAATATGGTTGATATGATCTATCTGAATTACTTTTGTCAGATACTATAAGGTTATTCAAATTGATCTCATCAGTTGTCTTCAATACAACAAAAGGATTGTTATCTCCCACTTCTAGAAATATATTTTGTAAATTTAAATAAAAAATTAAATAAATTCTCAATAGATTTAAATATACAGCACTAACTTCTGCCACGCATTTTGGTGGACTTTCTTTTGCACTTTCTAAAAGTTGTTTTGTAAACGAGTAGTAGTAGCATTTATGTACGCTCTCATTTGCTTATTCATTTTATTCATAATAAAGAATCAAAATTTATCAGTTTGGATATAAATATAATACTGATTAACTTATCTAATTTTGGATTCAACTATTTCTTTGTTTACTTATATCCAGAATTTATTTATACCCTTAGAGAACCTTTTATACTAAGTATTAAAAGATCAAACACATTAATATCTCTTTCTAACACTATTTTTATTTTTGGCAATAACATGTAAGAGCATCCAAAGGAACCTCAGTATACTATCACTAGCCAACTCCAGTCTGTCAACTACTTAAAGGTTGTCAATATGTTATGTATTTCTATATTAAAGCTAAAGTTAGAAGTATAAAAACTAGATTAAAAGAAATCAAGAAAAAATTAGAGAATAACTTTGATTTTTCTAATAAAAAAACTTTTAAAAAAGTAATTTTTTTAGTTTTAATTTATCTTTTTAGCTCTATATTATATTATATAAAAAAAATAATTCCTAATATCTGCATCCCAATTCTAAAAATAATTAGAGCAGTGATGATCACTACTGGTTATTTTAAGATTTCTATTTAAAAATAATTTGAAACAATTTAAATTATTATTATTATTATTTTTTTTTAAGCGGTCCTGCCTTTATTCATGTAAACTTTTATATAATTTATATACAATTTATACTAAATTCTTACAACCTATAGCTCATTTCAATAAAGACTTACCAGGGATAAAACCCAATATGACCTGTCATAACAACTATTAATCTCTTACAAGATCTTTAACTTGCTAAAGATTTTGTATCAGAATGATACTTCCCTTGATCATTAGTAGGCTGTTATATGCCTTGTTAGAACTACCTATTTTCCTTTAAAACTTTTCCTATCTTGGTCTGGGCAAAATAGTTTATCTCTTACATTTGTATAAAGGAAGAAAATAAATGCCATATTTACAAAAGAAAAGAAGATTTAGGGAAAGAAATGAACATATAGAAGAAAAGAGAAAAAAAAAGAAAAATAACCTAAAAATAGTTCGTCATAAATAGACAAAGATAAGAAAAGCAAAAAAAAGATTGGTAATTCTAACATACTTCTAATAGGAGATAAAAATAAAAGAGAAGAGGAAGGAAAAACAAAAAAAATATAAAAAAAAGAAATGTGTAGTGTATAGTGGCTTTGGTAGCCTAAAAAATTATATGATACTAAGTATTGAAGTCTCTATGTCATCTATAACTACTA